ATAGTAAACAGCAGCTAATCCAATAGTATGAACATTGGATCTTAGAATTCAGAGAGGGCCTCTCTGTTATATTATTCACGTGTTCACACATATCTTACACTCCCTCTGATATCCTCCAGGTATAACCTCATCCACCCCCCAACTAGCTGCTATATCTGTGGCTGAGAACCCAGCAATAGGATTGCCTAAAATGAAATGGATCAGTGCAAGCAACTAGAAGCCAAATATCTTAGTTCATGCTGCTGTAACAAAGTACCATAGACCCCAGTGGCTTAAACAAAGAAATTCCTTTCTCACTGCTCTGCAAGTTGAGAAGTCTGAGATTAGGGTGCCCGCATGGTCAGGTTCTGGTGGGAGCTCCCTCCCTGGTTTATAGATGGCCACCTCCATGCTGTGACCTTACACGGCAAGTGGAGAGCATTCTCTCTCATTTCTATTCTTAGGACACTAATCCCATTCATAAGGGTTCGGCCCTCATGACCTAATTACCTCCCAAAGGCCCCACCTCTAAACACCACTACCTTGAGATTTAGGCTTCCGTTTTTGGATTGGGGTGCGGGAGGACACAGACATTCTGTTTCCAGCGTCATAATATGGAAATATCTTGAGTGGGTGCTTGGGAACCGGTGTGTTGATCTCAGTACATCGCAACATTAGAAGGAAGATGAAATTCACAAGGATTCACCCCGGGAGATGTTTGCTCAGACTTTAGACGTGAGGTATAGAATGTCCTGAAGATTCCACTAGGGAAAACAGGCACATGATTCCTTCTCTTGAGAGTGTGCTCCAAGTTTGACTTTTGTAAAAGATACTGTTGTACCATGGGGGGCTCCAACCTGGCTGTGCCCTCAATAATTAATCCTGCATTGTTTTCTTGGGGTGGAGGGAAGAACAGGCAGAGCCCTCAGAGAGGCTTGAAATTGATTCCAAGTAGTATTGTTAAATAGACCAGGATTGCTGAGAGCTAGGTGTGAGTTGCTCAACTTTAGTTGCAAGGGATAAATGCAGTGGGTGTCACAGCCAGAATAGTAATTATGTCATCTGTCTTGTCGAAGAATTTGACTATAGTAATTGCAACATTTTCTTCCATCATTGAAGCTTGTAATTATAGTGCAACTAACAGGATTATGTGCTAACTTGGGCTGTTTTAATCACCTCTTTTACTCTGAAATGCAATGGTAAAATTCCGCAGTTGTTCCCAGGCTGCCGATTCTTTTCAACATCTGTTGTCTTGTAACAGATTAGTACCAACGAGAGGAGACAGAGATGCTCTGGGCATTTCATAATAGAGGACCTTAGGTAAAGCAGACTTGAGGCTTGACGAGAAAGCATACACAGTAAGGAAGTTTCAAATTTCCAACCCAAATAAAATTTTCTCTTTGAAAGCAAATCATTGGGGGTTTTTTTGTTTCAAAGATGGCAGATGTTTTATGCAATTTGGCAATGGCTGCAGCTCATACTTTATATGTATGAGCTTATAAAGTGAAACTTTCTGCTATAAAAGTCAACCTAGAACTGATTAAGAAAACCCTCCCACTCAACCTAGTGAGCAGATTTGGGTTAATTAATGCCTAGATATTAAGCTGTGTGTCAGGATGTCACCTTTCATGTGTAAGACTCATTAAGATGCTCATTACCTATGTTTATCTTTACAGATCTCTTAACAACAAACTCAAGTGTTCTCCGAATATTTTGTTTACACAGGAATAAAGGAACATTGGACCCGGTGTGAAATACAGGGGGGCTGATGGCCGAGGTAGAAGCCTCCCTTGATCGTTTCCTTGTACAACCACCGACACTCTCTTAGAGTGTTATTTCAACACAACTAGGGCATCTAGGATTTTAACACTGCAGGGAACCAATCCAGATCCACACATTTGGTCTGAAAGTGGGCGCTATTACTTGGCTCCAATACAGGCTACATTCTGTATTCATCCTGCTGTACAGGTGCCCAGACAGGACTCCGTCGTCCAGAGGAGTGTAGTTACAACTCAGCAAGTGTGTTTGTGCTCCTAAAACACCATAGCAAAAGGAGGCAATCGAAGAACAGCCTGTTTTCCTGAAAGAAAAATTGTAGAATAAGTGCAGTATCACCTTTAGAGGTGATAGAAAAATCCCTAGATTAGATCTGCTTAAAACTAGCAAGGCCAGACACAAACAGCTTAGTCGTTGGGGTGATGAAGACACAGAGCTGAACGGGCAGCAGATACACTGATAGGAGACAGGATCACAGCCCAGCCCCTTCTTTCCTTCACCCAGCTGTCCTACCAAGCCTCATTTTTTAAACTGAACTATAGCTGACATACAATGTTAGATCAGTTTCGGGTGTGAAACTGATTCGACAATCCTATACGTTACAAAATACCACAATAAGTGTTGTTATCTGTCACCACACATTATTAAAATATTATTTGTATTCCCTATGCCGTACTTTTCATCCCTGTGACTATTTTATAACTGGAAGTTGGTATCTACAAAGTTACATTTTGGGGCCCCTCCTCTACTGCCTTGGCCCGATGGCCAGGTTAACTATGCAGCAGCTCCCAGAGAGGCGCCCCCTTGCGGCTGCTTCCAAGAAATTCAACTATTCACATCCGCCCCGAAAGATGTTAACAAACATCTGAACAAGTACGATCCAGGGGAAGGAAGCTGTATTTATAACTTAGCAGGCTAGCTTCGGGCCAGCTGGATCGTGTCATGAAAAGGTAAACTTAGGCACATTAAAGTTTCTCAAGAGTTTGTTTGAGCGTGCATCGATTCAAATTCAGTGCACACCACCCCCAGGAGCTGGGGCAAGGTTTCATAGAGAAGATGCCAAAGCAGAAGTTATTTGATTGGTCATGTGAGTTCCCAGGTAGCTGGTCTCCAAGGAGAGTGTTCTGGTCTGGCAGAACATTCCAGTCCACTTGACAGCTACAATTTCATTATCAACAAATCAAGCGGCTACTACGGCACATGGAATCTGTGGCCAGACAGCGTGGCTTCAAATCCTGGCTTTGTCAGGGCACCTTTGGGGCTCAGTCGGTTAAGTGTCCGACTTCTGCTCAGGTCATGATCTCACTGTTCATGAGTTCAAGCCCCGTGTCGGGCTCTGTGCTGACAGCTCAGAGCCTGGAGCCTGCTTCAGATTCTGTGTGTGTGTCTCTCTCTCTGCCCCTCCCCCATTCACACTGTCTCTCAAAAATAAATAAACACTAAAAAAAAGTCTCTGGGACATCTGGGTGGCTCAGTTGGTTAAGTGCCCAACTTTAGCTCAGGTCATTATCTAAAGGTTTGTGAGTTTGAGCCCCGTGTCAGGCTCTATGCTTAGAGCCTGGAGCCTGCTTTGGATTCTGTGTCTCCTACTCTCTGCCCCTCCCCCGGTCATGCCGTGTGTGTGTGTGTGTGTGTGTGTGTGTGTGTGTGTGTCTCTCTCTCCTTGGGCAAGTTTTTTAACTCTTGTGCCTCAGTTTCCTCATCTGTGAAGTGGCTTTAAGAATATTAAGGGACACCTGGTGGCTCAGTCGGTTAAGCATCCAACTCTTGATCTAGGCTCAGGTCATGATCTCACAGTTCATGAGTGCGAGCCCTGCGTCGGGTTCTGCACTGACATTGTGGAGCCTGCTTGGGGTCCTCTCCCTCTCTCTCTGCCCCTCCCCTGCTTACACTGTCTCTCTCAAAATAAGTTTTTTAAAAAGAAGAAGAATTTCTGGAAAAATTTGGAAGCCAGGCCAATTTTAAGAACCTCGAGGTAATGTGTGTGGCTTGTATACCCTGAAGGCTCTAAAACATTTTTTCATTGTTTGTGGAACGTTTTTAACATTCTAGGAAAGATGAAGACCTTGAACGTACGGAAAGGATCTCATTCGTGTGCTGTATACTTACCCTACCTGTAGCCCATAATAAGCACTTACAGGCGGAACAACATAATCAGCAGGAGGCATTAATGCATAGGCTGCTCATCTGACCAGCATGCGACCCATATCATACGGGTGAGATGAGCTGGGAACTTCATCTTCCTGTTAGCCAGTGTGCCTTGGCCGTCTGCTGCCCCTAGCTCGTTTGGTCCTCTGAAACCCCTGGGTTTCAGTGGGGGGACAGTTCAGTGCTCAGCTGCCTTGTGTCAGCAGGGCTTCATGCAAGACTGGAAGGAAAACGGAGAAGGAACCTTCTGGTCAATAGCAGCTCCTTACACGGGGGAGTGGCCGTTGTGAGATGAAATGTGTGCTTAGAGGGACACCTGGGTGGCTCAGTCAGTTAAGTGTCCTGGGTCTTGATTTTGGCTCAGGTCATGATCTCACAGTTCATAAGTTCGAGCCCCGTGTCCAGTTCTGCACTCACAGCACAGGGCCTCCTTGGGATGCTCTCTTTCTCTCTCCCTCTCTCTCTCTGCCTCTCCCCCACTCATTCTTTCTCTCTCTCTCTCTCTCTCTCTCTCTCTCTCTGTCTCTGTCTCTGTCTCAAAAATAAATAAACCTTAAAAAAAGTGCTTTGAGTATGTAACTTATGTAGGTGATATATAAAATACGCTAATATGTATTCTGTTGAGGAGCATGAAATGACCCGCTATGTGATCACCAGAGTGGATTGCAATCAAACAATTCCCAATAATAATACTAACTACAATCCCACTGGCCTGCACAGGGCCAGCGCTCAGCTTTATCCGTCTAGAAAAGGTTTAGCAGAGTAAGGAGAAGCTAGTGGCCCAGGCCTCCACTCATCACACAGTTGGGAACAGAACAGGATGTCTGGACCATCCCTGCTGGCTTCTCATTCCTGTCTGGAGGTTGATCTGACGGCCCCTGGGCCACATCTCTTTCCTCAGAGGAGTGCTTGAAACCTGGTCTCCTCTGGGTTTGCGCAGACCCTGTCTCTCCGGGCTGGGAACGGCTGCTACGGCTGCTGGGGCGGCTGCGGCGCACATGACACAGCCTGTCCTGGGCTGGGCCACGCAGCCGCCTCTGCACTGGACGCACGGGGGGCTGGCCTCTAACCCACCCCTGTGCTGTGTCACCCCGCAGGTGTCCCAGGCGGCCGCAGACCTCCTGGCCTACTGCGAAGCCCACGTGCGCGAAGACCCTCTCATCATCCCAGTGCCTGCGTCAGAAAACCCCTTCCGGGAGAAGAAGTTCTTTTGCACCATCCTCTGACCCCGTTTGTTATGAAGTGTCTCCTTGTCCGTCCGGAAACTCCCTGGTAGAGCCCGCATGTCCTTAGCAGTAGGGCTTCCAACCACCCCTGTCCCCACCTTGTCCCCACCCGCCCGGGCCGGTCTCCCTTCATCCGTTTTCTTCTCTGCATTCGATTCCACTACTTCCTGTCATTCTCGTGTTATTTGCATTATCAGCAAAGAAAGTAGACATTTTTGTAGCAAATAACAAATGCACCAAGTCCAAATAAGTATGAGATTAAGGGTTTCTTTTTTTATTTAAACATCAATTCGAGGATTTAAATACATCAAATTAATACATCCCAGTGGATAATTTATTGAAAAGAGAAAAACCAGGGGTGTCTGGGTGGCTCAATTGTTTAACTGTCTGACATTAGCTCTGGTCATGATCTCACGGTTTGTGAGTTCAAGCCCTGCGTCTGGCTCTGTGCTGACAGCTCAGAGCCTGGAGCCTGCTTTGCATTCTTTGCCTCCCTCTCTCTCTCTGCCTCTCCCCTGCTCATGCTCCGTCTCTCTCTCTCTCTCTCAAAAATAAATAAACATTAAAAATTTTAAAAAAAGAAGGAAAACTATCCTTGGCAATCCCCCGTTCACAAATAATTCACTCTGAAATTAGAGTATCTCAACCACCTGGAACACATGGGTATAGGGTTCATCTCTTTTCATCCAGAAGTTCTACGTTCCCTGCCTTCCTGTCCTCCTGTTAGAAACGAAATGACCCACAGCATCCAACGGTTTTCCTAATATGTCCCTCACCAGGGCCCAGACCCCACTGAGGACACAGGGCCTCGTTTCCCCCCGATGATCATGGACCACTTGGGAGCTGGGCCTCCTACGAATGTAGATGTTGGGTGAATAGTGCAGCAAGCTTGACTGCATGCACTCCAGCTAGGCCAGCCCGGGGCTCCGCTCCCCTCTCCACAGGCCACCCCTTCCTGCTCCCCTCTTCTGGCTCCTCCTCGGTAGTTCTAACGTGGGGTCCCGCGGGGTTTCACCAGGGTGGCCCAGCTCAGTGAGCCACAGGGACAGCAGCCGTCTGCCGATCTGAGCACTGACAGGCATTCATTATTCGATCCTCTGGCAATTAGTAAAATACCACGAGAGTATGTCTGTTTTACAGAGAGGAAGACCGAGGCACTGACAGGTTCTGTGGTTTCCCCAAGATGATCATTAGAAGGCAGGAAATCTGGGGCTTGAGCCTGGCCCCACGGACCTCCCGGAACCCCGAGGCACGCTGCCTTCGGCTCTGCCTGTTTGCAGGTCAGCAGGCCTCCAGGCAGCCTGTGCTGCACGCCGTGAGGCGCCTTCGCTGTGTCCACTCTGCCATCTTTGCCAGGAGGAGGAATGTGGGTGCCAATAGCTTACGGAAGATGATGGATTGATGATAGATAGATAGATAGATGGATAGATAAGATAGATGATATGTGGATGCCCCAGACAGCTCTTGGTGTTTCTGAAACAAACTTGCAGGCCCAGCCCAAAACAAAAACAACAAAAGAGAATAAACCATGGGGGACAGAGAGCTCCATGTCCGAGTTTGTGTGATTCCTCTTGTATAGAAACTGCCTCGCTCCCTGGCTCTGCCAGCAGCTGGCTGTGTGATCCTGGCAAGCCACTGTGCACCTGGAATGTTCTAACCTGCTAATCGGGGGTGATGATAATGACTCCTCCTGCCTTTCTGTCTGGGAGGGCACCGAGAGGTGCTCCAGAGATGGATGCCCTGATTATCATTGAAAACAAATAAGTTACTAATGTCATAGCGGCAGGAGGGCAGACTGCAAAGAGACCGCAGTTCGGCCGGAGAAATAGTGTCAGATGGCCCACGAAGAGCCAAATATAATTTCAGATCAGTTCCTAACTTGCCGCCTTGCAAATGGCTTCAGTACATGTGTATTCTTTGCTGCTTTTGCTGAAAGCCGTTCTTCATTTCACTAAAGCTCACCGTTACGACCAGCGAAGTCAGGAAGCCGTGTGCTCAGACTACAGCCGAGTTGTATGCTGTGTGTGATAAGAAGACTTCACACCCTTCCCTGTCTGGGTTTGTGACCAGGGGGTCTTTATTCCCTGGTCCGTGTCAACATCATTAACCTGATAAAGCAAAGCACCATTCATAGAAGCACGTCAGAGAGACGGAGAAAGTGGGGCAGCATGGAGGGTGGCTAAATCGGGTCAGGAAGGAACTATACTTCTAGGCTTCTTCGGAACCTTCTCTCCTTTGTATTTAACTTTTACTGTCCTCTCCTTTCTCTCCCTCTTAGTCCTTTTCCTCCTCTCTTCCTTACCTTCCTCCGCAAGACGCTGTGTTGTCTTTGTGCTCACACCTTTTCCTCCCAGTCCTGTGGCGGTGTGGGTGGTGTGCCCCTTCTAAAGTGTCCCTGAGCTCAGTGCCACCTTCCTAAAGGCAAGGTCATGCACGTGGGCTGTGAGACACACGAACATGTGAATGAGCCCCTCGCCCTGCTAGCGGTCACTGGGAGGTAAACAAAAGGGGGTGCCTCTGCAGCCGACAGTTGTCGCTTTGTGATCGCAGTGTGGCCGGCATCTGACCCCCTTTCCTATAGGGGGAGATCACCTCCTGCATATCAACTTAGTGGGATGCAGTAGAATCCCCGTTCACCGCGAATGCTGAGGCAGGGAAGCCTTCCCGGACTCTCAAGGACACCCCCTTTCCAGCACCAGACCGGCCAGGGAGGGGCCAGTGACCTGATGGGAACTGCTTGGGCTCCTTTGCCTGGACCTGTAAGCTCAGAGCAAATGGCACAGACATGAAAAGGCACTGAGGTTCATTCTATGGGACCCACGGTGGTCCAGCCAGGGAGGCTCTAAGACCAGCGGGCTGCAGGGATTCTGTGCCCACCGCTCCCAGCGTCCAGGGATGGCGGAGTCCTGAGCAGACCATTCCTGCCCCTTCCTTGGTCCCACTGAGCTGTCTTGTGCCCCCACCCGGCCCCCCACATCCTTTTAGGTCTCCTCTCTAGCTTTCTGTCAATTCTTTGAGCCTCCAAGCTCTATCCACTAAATTTCTTATTCTTCTCTGAAATAGCCTGCGTTGGGTATACCTATCCTATGCTCTAAAAACTCCATTCCTGAGTGTGTATTTTACAGAAATATATGTATGTATCCACCAAAAGGAAAGTACTAGAATGTGCGTAGAAGCACTATTCACAAGAACCCCAAACCGGAAAGCACACAAATGCCCGTGCTGAATGGATAAAGGGATTACGGTGTGTTCACGCAGTGAAATCCTGTGCGGCAGCGGGGATGAAAGACCCACACAGCACAGTGTGGGGCTCACGACATAAGGCAAGTACATACTCTGCGATTCCATTTATGTCAAGAGCAAAGCCCAGCAAAGCTAATCTGTGCTGTGGCAGGTAGGGGACTATTAGTTACTCTTTGGGGGATGGGAACCAGAAGGAGCACAGGGGGAGCTTCTGGGATATTCTGTCTCTTGATCTGGTTGCTGGTGACCTGGGTGTGTCCGGTGTGCGAAAGTCCTCGAGCTGTATACTTCTGGTCGTGCACTTTTCTGTATGTATGTTACACTTCAATAAAAAGTGGCTTTTGTGGCTCACCATCAGTCCTATTGGGTTTTTTTTCTTTCACTCAACTTTTAACTCCCCTTTAGGTAAAACGTTATTAGTGGAGCATTTAGGAGGGTATTTGACGACATTTTGAAATGTGAAACACAATGCACAGCTATCTGGCCAGAGAACCGTCTGCCGGCAGAGTGCAGATCGTTCCCAGGCGGCAAGATCTGTGAGCGCCATGTGGCAAGATCTGTGAGCGCTGTGCGACAATATCTGTGTCTTTGGGGAAAACAGCGAGAAGTCCCGCTGAGGATTCCCACTTGGATCCACCTCTCTGTACATGAGGCAGGTGACATCCTCTCAGCCCCTCCTGCCTCCTGACCATCAGGAATGAATGGGGGGGTGGTGGCCACAAAACCCTGTTCTCAGACACCACCTCTGAAGGACGGAAGGGCAGCCAAGGCACCAGCTGGCCCCATGATGATGCATCTTCTGAACGCGGCCCTGTTCCCCTGGCCACCCAGCCCATAGACACCAGAGACAAACGTGGACTTTTCAACTGTGCTGCCACCCCTGGGTCCCCTTTCAAGCCTCTGATTGCTTCTGAGGGCCCCCCCCATTGCTGTCTCCTTTGCCCCCAGCTACCTCGTGGCCAGGGTCCTTGCAGAGAGGGAACGCTGAATTCCAGGGTGATCACAGACTAGCTTCGCGCTGGGACTCCCGCTGTATGAGTCAAAAGGAGTCCGAGCTCCAGCCCCCACGGAATGCAACACCGAGCCTAGGAATTGTCAGCAGCCTCCCTCCAAGGGGCCATGGTAGGGGTACAGACCAAAGGTCAAAGGAATTTTGTTCTGGTGACTTCAAATTCGAAATGAAGATACTAATAAAGAAATGGTAACAACTAACTCTTTGACGTAGGAAGAATAGGGACCGTGGAGTGAATTCAGACTATTTATTCACACTTCCATTTCTGTCAGCTCTTCAGGCTGTTGAGAAGATACAAGATCAAGGGTATCTTTTATGGAGGACCAGTCTCCCTGCCCTGGCCTGGGAGCTTCGTGCCCTGGGGGCCACGCCACTCGGCCCTCCCCAGGTTGTACAGCCAGTAGTGGACAATAAACTCAGAACCAGACATCCTGTCCGGATTCTGATAAAACCCCTACGCCTGATTCTGTTTCAGCTGTAAGTCAGTATACTAACTTGTAAAATTTTCAAGTGCGTGTATGGTAATTAACCACACACTCATGTTACTCGATCCGCTTGCTTTCAAGGGTTCGCCTTTGACAGAGTGGCCTCCGTCCGCCCCGCCTGCCCTGGCCTCCACTTATTCCCCAGAGTGGCTTTCATACCTCACTCCCCTTCCAAACCCTGTGCTCATCCACCCTGGCCATTATCCAAGCCTACCTCACCAGCCCTGGTCCCTGCTGCCACAGGGTCTTTGCACCTGTTGCTAGCTCTGCCTAGTCCCCCCCTTCACTCCTCGCTTTGCCAGTCTACTTACTTTTTAGATCTTAGCTTGGACATCAGTGAGGGTTCAAGCCTTCCTGACCCCTCCAAACAAGTCAATGGTGTTTGTACATTCTTACAGCGCTGTGAAACTTTCCGAACAGTGCTTTTTTTTTTTTTTTTTTAACATTTGTGTATGTGATCACTCTGCCCATCTGTTTCCCCAACTACACTAAACTCCACGAGGGCAGTCATTTATTCACGGGCAGTCCCAGCACCTACTGTATCAGCTGACACATGAGAGCCACTCCGAAAGCATTATCCACATACATGCGTGCAAGTCCCTGCTCGTCGTTTCTCAACAACAGGTGCTTC